ATAAAAATTTCTTGTGTTCATATGTGCACAAATTTTTTTTTGCAGATCATAAGATCGACGAATTTCCAACACTGGTTTGAATTTTGCATTTTTATAGTGCAGATCATCAAAATAACGTTGTACAAGGGACATGCCGCCTAATTACTAATACTAATACTAATATTGACACACGGACATGCCCCGGATAATGTCAAAGAAACACTGTAAAAAATGTTCGCGTAACAATTTGTCAAGCGGATGTACCCGCTCATTTACTTAAATATCCTGGACATCCGGTACTAGTAATATAAACCACAAGTTAACGTAAGAAAATGTCTTTACCATCAACATATTATTAGAACCAATATTAAATTAAACCAAAGCAATTAAAAAACCTTTTGTAAAGCATATGTTGAAAAATCAGGAGAAGAAAAAATGGTTTCCAAGCAAAAAAATTCGAATAAATCCAGCATCTAAAGAAATGTATAATTTAACAAATATGAGGCGGAAAATTAGGTGAAACTTAATCAATTACAATTGTTTAAATGTTTCGCACAAATGTTAAAACAAGATCAGTAAATTATTATAAATCACTTTTTGACCAAGCGGAATTAATTAATTAATTAATTAATCAACCGGGTAATTAAATAATCCTATATTAATAATCCAGAGTCTTGCTTGAGAATGAAGGCAGAAAGTTAATATATATAAATTTATTTCCTTTACAAATAAACATTCTCATAATAAAATAATTCTTTTTTGTTTAACACTTTTGTGGTCTGAAATTAAACGGTAGGGTTTAATTGTCCGTTGGCTATCAGGGTGGCATAGAACTCCAAGGTTTTGTTATATGCTATGGTAGAAAGCAATGATTTTGGTTATTGGCTTCATATAAGCAAAGGTTTTGTTTTGGGTATTTGCTATAGTAAAGAAAGCAAGCGTTTAATTTTTAAGCGTAAGCGTTCTTGTTTGATTTTTGTAATTGTTAAAACTTAACTTATTGGCAAAAGTATTAAGTGTCAACAGTAATTGCTGATTGACCACTTATACAAAGAGCCAACAGTTATTAACCAAAGTCATTATCACATATTGGTTATTGTGTTAAAGTAATTGTTGTAAACATTCGGATGACTTCAATCGACCCAAGAAAAGTAAAAGCAAAGTAAATAAAAAAGTAACTCTATAGGAGTATTTGTTGCTTCGTAGAAGGGCCTTCTTATTTATTGTAATTCGTTGTTGATTCTACCATAAAGTGTGCTTACAGGTTCGCCAAAGCTTTTTAGGTACAAAAAAAAGGCAACAAGCAGAATAATTTTGTAAAACTAATTAATTAATTAATTAATTGACGAGTTAGCTAAAAAGCTAACTCAAAACTCGACCATAATGTTAAATAATCAAAGCCACCCTTGTATTATTTATAGAGCCATTCATAGTAACCGGGATTTTTTTTTTGCGTATAGTGCGCATAGTGTGTATATATCATAGGGATGGAAATATCATAAATGCGCGTATAATAATAAGAAAGTAAATGCATATTTATTTTTTTTTTAGAAATGTTTATTAATAAGTAAATGTCTGTAAAAAATCTATCTAAAACCTTAACACTATGCGTAACACACTATGCGCGGCACATCTCTGATTATTTATAAGCAAAATTTATATTTTTGTCTGGGACATTTAAAGACAGTCCGTGTCTGTATCTCCTGGCAACACTGGTTATAAATGTAAATAAAAGAAAACTGGCATGTAAAAAAATGATTAAATTCTAAAATCTTAATGGGGCTAATTTTATGGTAAAATAAAATATGACTTGATCATTGATGCATTCTTCCATTGTATATAATAACTGGATGAAAATCCAGTAATCGTTAGATTCGTATGTTCATTCAATACTTCTAAAATTATAATTATCACAAGCTAGCCAAGTCCTAATTGCTGGTTAGTCACTACTTTATTTAAAACAATTGAAAAAACTGTTACTATTACTATTATTACACAGTTGTAAAAAACGGGGTGGACGGTAATGAAAAAATAAAATTATTACTATAAATAAAAATTATTTCAACTAAGGGAAATTATAAATAGATCAAACTTTTATGCTATAGAGTTTTTTTTTTTGCCAAATAAAAAAGATATTGACTAATAAATAAATTTTATAACCAACATGAGATAGAGCAAAAGGTTCTATATATTTATTATACAAAACTTAAGTAATAAAACTATAAAAAGCTTTGTTAATTTTATTATGAAAAAAAAAGTTGTCATGATTTAAAGTTATTCGATTTATTATTAAGTTCCAAAAAATAAAAGTAACTGATAGATTGCTTCTTTTCATAATAAAAAAACATTCATATATTCAGTGTTTGTCCTCGTGAACATAAACAATAAGTATATTAATATATATATATATAATCTATATACAAATTTTTATTTTTATTTTAAATACTAAATGATGTTGAAAATTGGATTTTGTGTTAATTTTTATCTAAAATATGCTCAACCCTTAAAAAACCCCTAAATCTTGATATTTTTTCCACTAATCTGTCAAGACCATTAATGACTTTAATTTTCTTGGCAATATTTGATTTAAAACTGCTAAAATTCTATCACCATCCACATAATAAAAATCAAGGTCCTCAAGTTTAATACTTTTTAATTTAATACAATTATTGAATACTTCCATTAACTCCTGGTCTACTTCATCTTTATAAAATATTGATAAATTTACTAGATTTTTGCAATTGATTGAAATAGCTTTCCCAAAAACTCATCATCATCTGAAATACCATTAAGATACAGGTTTTTAAGAGTTTTTCCATTGATGTTAATAAAATCAGACAAGTCTGATGTAGTTGACTTTAAATATTTAACTCCACTGATTCAATATTTGGCAGTGAAATATTTTCCAAACATTCTATTGTTTTATCAAGATCATTATAACTGATAATGATAAATTCAAATTTTTAAACATTGGTAATATTTGATCTATATGATTTTTTCTAAGCTTCACTAGTGTATGAATTAATTGTTAATTCCTCTATTTGATTTTGTGCTTTAATTAGCTGAGTCAAACTATAACCAAATCTATTGTTGAATGTACCATATATGCTTAATGATTGAATACATTTGCAAATATTTGCTAATCTATCAATAAATTCATTACTAACAATCTAATTTATCAAGATTCTGAAAATTATTATCAAACCTACAATAATTATTTATTGATCCCAATTTATATTAACAGTATTAAACTCTCTAATAACTGCTGAATGATTTAAAACAAAATTCATTAATCTATTTTGTAAAATATATAATTCAGAATCTTTTGTCAGCAATTGAGAATTATAACAGTTGAAATAAAAAATCTCCAAAATCTAGCTTGAAAATTAGTTCTAGTTAAGAAATCCTTATCTTCTTCAAATAAACAATTTACTATTATTTTAATCCTGTCAACAGAATAAAATGTACAGTGTGTTAAGAAAAAAATGGCGGTGACAAAAAATTGCATATCTCAACAATTACATAACATAATTAAATAAATTTAGATTCGTTTGAAAGTTTATCAAATTACCTTGTTAAATAAAAAAAATAGACATGATATGCTATTGCCAATTTTCTGTAAAGCTAATTCATATCTTTTTTTTAAAACTTTGCAAAATTTTTGTCTCTGAAATTTTAACACATAAATTTTTAATAATAAGCCTGACACAAAAATATACATAATAATCATACAAAAAATTATACCGGTGTGTAATGAAAGTTCTGGAGATTATATATATAAACTTTCATACTTCCAGATTTTCTAGAATTTTGTCAATCGGAAATAAAAGGAATTTGATTATTTAAATTTCTTTAATAATTGCTCTAAAGCCTACATAATAACATGCTTCAAAAATTTCATATGTTATAATCTAAGATCCTCCAATTCTCTGTTATAATTTTCATCATATAATTTTGGCTACTTTTCATTAAAAACAATATTTTTACCAACCGCCATTTTTTTCTTAACACCCTGTATTTTATTCTTAATTTATTCTATTAGGGTCGAGTTCATTCAATGTATTGATCACATTGCATTGGTAATGTTAATTGTGATATTAAATAAATAATATTGATCCCTGAAATTCTTGGTAATACCAATGTTCACTTTGTCTGGTTTTGTTGAGTATGCTCCATATATACTTTATTACTTTCCGCAATATATTAATAGTTAATATGTTTCTATTATGCAGTACACATGATCACAGATCAAATAGAAAGTTAAGCCTGGTGGCTGATTTATATATATGATCATGTTTACATGTGTATTTATGAAATTTATTTTTTTTGTCAATGTGATTGGTGTGAACAATGTCCAAGCACATGTGACTGGACTATCTGATTTGAAAGTTGAAGTGGAATCCGTCACAACCCTTTCCCTTTGAATCATATATCTAATTCTTTCAAATTTTAACTCTGATTTCTCTGACAATGAAGAGACAAATAATACGTGTGTAATGTACTCTGATGACGAAGATTCACAAGGGTTTTATTGGTATTTGAGTAGTGGAAAGAAAACTTATAAAAAAATTACTATTTTCTGATCATTAGTATGTTTTAAGACAGTTCAACTATAATTATATTATTTTTTTCATATAATGTTTGCATATCGGAAAATAGAACATGTTTGTATTGTATGGGCATCAATACTTCACATATGATCAAGAATTTTTTCAGATAATTAATATTAACATGGATTACCCCATAAGTTATTATTTGATATTAACTTTCATGAGACAATATCATTAACTAACTGGTAAATTATAAAACTAGCGCTCAAAAAAAGACGCAATATTTTGTTAAAATGTATATATAAAGACATTAATTTTTTGTTTTGCCAGCACTTGCATTTTCAGCATTTATGAATACCAATTGTGATCGTAACCCTCCTATCTTATGTTCTTCTGGTCATCCTGGATTTTTAAAGATATTTCCAAGAGGTATTTCTTCGTTACTAACTTTTAAATATGCTCCGTTTTCTTTTTATGAACAGACCTATTATTACACAGAGTGGGTAAAAATGAGAAATGAGATATACATAGGCAACCCTGTTAAACCGAAGGCAATTGTGCAGGAACTTTTCTTCGGATTAACAGGGTTTTTTTATAATCTGAAGTTATTATTAATAAATTTAAAAATTTAGGATTTAGAAATTTCCTTTATCCATTTTCTGGATATTTTGTTGATCTCTCATGATATGAATTTGCAGTGAATTGATTTGAATTCAATGATAAAAATAATCACTCTTTTTTAGGTTTCAGAAACAGACATTATATTTAGATGCAAGCTGGTTATTTTTTATGTTTGTCTTTATTTTTTTCAATGCATATTTCTATTTTTTGGTGAGATTGTTATAGGCGTATGTTTTCTTTTTGATACCTCAACTTCTTTTTTCAGTAGATTTTTTTTTTCCTCTTGTTTTCACTATATAGAGGAAAGTCTACTCTGGTTATTATTTGCTATTTCCATGGTAATTTTTGTACATATGTATTTGTATAACTTGTATATTATTATTATTGGCCCTCATTTCAGTTTATAAAAATTCGGATTAACAGGGCAATTTTACATATAAATGGCTTCAAAAAATTTAAAAATTTCTTCAGTTTATAGTTTATAAAGTTTTATTGGTGACATTCATATTAAAAGGGGGTGATTTACATATGTTTGCTTTGGTGTTTTAAAAATTACTCATTTTAACGAGGTTTTCGGATTAACGGGTTGCCTAGTCTATGTATATATAAAAAACAAAAATAACTAAAAATAGCTTCATTTCTCATAATCGGCAATATGTCGATCATCTTAAAGTTTCAAGATTTGTAAAAATAAAATTTTGGTGACGATCCGCGCTGTATATTAAATATACTTGTATATTATTAATAATATACTGGAAAATAAACTTTCTATAAAAATCCTGAGGTGACACAAATTAATAAACGAAAAACAAAAAAACATTGCCTTAATTTCCTTTTTGCATAATTCTTTAATTCTTTCATAATTCTTTTAAAAAGACAATTCTGAAACAATTAATTTTAAATCAGTGCATATCTTATAATTTTCATTTTTATTTAAAAGCAATCCAATTTTCAATCAATGTCATTAAAAACTTCACTGATCAGACGATCGTCGTCTATATCAAATGGCTCTTCATCAAGCAGATCAAGACTTTTAAACTCATTTAATTATATACCCTCAACAACAACAAACTCGACTGCTTCCAATGCGGTCCACTTGTCATCATCGTTCAGACCTACTAGTCAACCAACTTCAATCAATTTAACTTTGGAGCCACTTAATGACACTTTTAAACGTAAAAATTTAGTTCTTTATGACAATGAACCAATTAAAATCGGTAGGTCGATAAACAAATCCACAACACCCTCAGAATCTAATGGATTTTTTGATAGTAAGGTGTTATCCAGATCTCACGCTGAGATTTTGTTTGAGAAAAGTAACAATGTTGGTGAAAAAAGAAAGAATAGTATGGAGATGAAAGTAGAAGGAAAGGTGTTAATTAAGGATTTAAAATCAAGTAATGGAACTTTTCTTAATGGGAGGAAAATTGGTGTGGAAAATGATGAATTTGATGCTGTGGAATTGAATAATGGAGATTTACTTGTATGTATAAAAAAGCCTGATTAACTAATGTTTGATTGTTTGACGTATGTTGTTAAATAATAATATTATTAGGAATTTGGAATTGATATAAATAACGAACAAGATCCAAAGACGACATTTAGAAAAGTTTCTGCAATTGTTTACATTGATAACGGCGATTCTTTTATAAATAATAATATTATTATTACTAGTGATTACTACAACAAAGAAAGAAAGTACGTATAACTTATTAATTCAACACACATATATTTGATCACGATAAGTATTAAGTTAATACTAATCTTTATTTTAATAACTTGGATCATAGTGACGAGGTAATAAATTACTTAGTTTTTATTTTGATATATAAATTAATATTTTTTTTGCTAATTGTTAATTTCCAACTAGAAAAATATCAAATTTTCCAAGTTATCCTTATCAGCACCAGCACCAGCATCATCAAATTTTAACGATGATTTATCAATTTATGATTTAATAGAGGTATCACAAATTTTATATGAATAAACAGGATAGAAGAAAATAAAGAATTAAATTTAATTAATTAAACATTCATATTTTTTTAAAGAGAGAATTGAATTTAGCAAAGCAAGATTCACAAAATTTAATTCAAATGAACAATATGTTGAATGATTTTAATGATATACTTGAAGATTATAGCATAAATGATAGTAATAAGGTAAAAAAATCTTGGAATTTGTTATTTAAAATAAATTATTATTAATTATTATTATTTTTTTTTTGCTTTTGTTTAAGTTTAATTCTTCGACAATTGTTCTTAAACAGCAAGATCAACAACATCAGTATGAATTATTACAAAATTCGTATCAAGATTTACATAAACTCTATACCAAAAGTATTGAAGAACATGAAGAAGAAAAGCAAAAAATAATTTTCAAGTTCACAAGCCAATTGAAAGAGAAACATGAACCAGTGAAAAATAATGAGCAAGGTCAAAAAAATAATTATCAGCAATTATTATTAGATAAAGAAAAAGAATATGATGATCTATTGAATAAATTTAACTTGCATACTAAAGAATATAATTTGATGAAAGAAAACTACAACACAGTTATAAAAAGAATAAGCGTAATAGGTGAATGGGTTAATTCAAATATAGACAATAATAATTTATCAAATTTATCAAATAACAAAGTTGAAGATATTGTTGAACTTTTAAAAGTTTTTGATAAGTTAGAAAAGATTATTGAATTAAAAAAAGCAGAATTAGAAGGTTTAGAAATAATTAAAAAAGAAAATAACAAATTGAATGATTTAATCGGTCAAAAAGATTCTAAATTGTTAGAATTGGAAAAAATGATCAAAGAGTTTGAAGCAATTAATGATAACTTAAAAATTGAAAAAGAAAATTTATTAAAAGAACTCCACCAATCAGCAAACAATATAAATAATGCTAATACTAATAATAGCAACCTTGGAATTGGAATTGGAATTGGAATTATTGGTGGAAATATTAAACATTATAAGCAAAAATCCGAACCAACGAAAGATTCTGAATGGACAAATGATGAATATGATGATAATAATGATAATTGTGAGAAATCAGATATTTTAGAATTAGAATCATCTAAAGATGGTAATGATTTTGAGGGAGGTGATTGTGGTGATAATGTTGTTTATGATGATGATGACGATGATGATAATGATAGTGATGAGGATGGTTATGATGATGATGATAGTGCAACATTAGTTGTTGAAGGGATTAATAGCAAAAAATATAACAATCATACAGGAAAAATTTTAATTAGAAAAGTAAAGGTCAGCTATGATTAATAATAGTTATTATTGTTAATTATTTTTTCTTATTTACTAAAAAAACTTTTTTTAATTAAATTTTTAGAAAAAGAATAATTTAATATTGCCAAGTGACCTAACGTATGTATTTGTTCATTTAATTGCATATTTCATAATTATTTTATTTCTTAATACAATTTTTTTTACATTAAATAATTAATTATTAATAATTTTTTCAAATAAATTAATTAATTTCCTTTAAAAAAATGCATTATATTAATAACAATATACTAGATTGTCATTAATAATTCTTACAACTTTATTCGGAATTATTTTTTTATTACCTTCTTCAAATGATAATAATATACTATTAAAATTTTGTAAAGAACTATTTGGGAGAATTGGATTAAAACATTTATATAAAAATGGCATTAATTTATAAAAAAATTTTGCTTGTTTTATTAAAATAGAGGTTAGTTACTTCTACAAAAAACACATGTAACGTTTTGGTACAAATTTGATAAACACTATAATAATAATTTGAATAGTAATTAAATGTAAAAAAAACAAACAAAACAAAATAAAATCGACAAGTTATTATTTATGTCTCACTAATGAACATTTCCGATACTGGCAAATTTCAAAGGAAATGAATGATCATAATTCTTTGTTTTTTTTTAAAAAAGTTCAATTGTCAATTAGCTACAATATATATATTATTGTGCATGCACAATGATTTAATTTTTCAAAAAATCCGTTCATTTATGTTAAAATTATACGAAAATAGAATTTATTTAAATCACCCCACAAAAAATTTTTTCTCTTGATTGCTCAATTAATTTTTGAATAAACAAAGAAATCCATTATCAAAAGTAAAATTTATTTTTTTGAAATATAATTCCTGTTATTGTAAAAAAATTTACATCCTGTTTACCAAATTTAGTAATTATTAATGCGTCGAAGACAAAGTATCTCACAAAAATAGAAGATAGGGTATATAGTAACAATATAATATGATATAATATAATGAACAGTATATTATAGCAAAAAAAGATATTTAAAAGACTCTGGAAAAAAGTTTTTTTCGAATAATAAAAAATCTAAAACCAAAACTAAAATCAAAACTGAAAAAATATTCCTCTCTCTCACACACATAACCATTCAAAGAAACCTATCTAACACACACAAAATGATTCATACATCAATCCCAACTATTCATCATTCAACTCTTTACTCGCATAATCAACTTTGCGTTGATAACTATAGGTTTCTTAATGTGGGGAGAGGAGAAATTAATTCACATCATTCAAACGATCTAGTTGAAAAAAATCGATTACAAACGCAACATTATATCTCCAAATATATTTGGAAAAACAAAAATTTCTATTCACCTATTGAAAATAAGTTAAATCAAGGTGAATTTAGGGTGCTCGAAATTGGGTAAGTGAAATTTTAATTTTTGATTTATTTTTAAATTTTTAGAATTGTAATATTTATAATATCTATAATATTTTATAGACATGGCTCGGGGACGTGGTTGATTGATATGGCTACAGAATTCCCAAATTCAACTTTTGTTGGAGTTGATTTAACTAATCCGATCCTTGAAAACGAAAACAAACCTGATAATGCCGGATTCCTTCGATGCGATGTTATTAATGATGGAATTCCATTTCCTGACAACACTTTTGATTTTATCTATCAAAATCTTAACATTTTTTCCTTTTTAACTGAATCTCAATGCCCCGAATTGATAGAAGATATGATTCGTGTTATAAAGCCAGGAGCTTGGATTGAGGTAATTATTTACTATCTTTATTACTATTTCCATTATAATATAATGAATAAATTATAAACTTAAATTTTTTTAAAAGTTAATGGAAGGATCATATGAATTTGAAAACGTTGGCCCAGTTACACGAGTGTTGATAAATTCAACAATTGCTTACCTTAAAGAAAATGGAATAAAACCTAAAGCCATCTCCAATATTAAAAATTATCTTCAAACTAGCGAAAACTTTTCGACAGACATTCATACAGAAGAAATCAAAGTGCCACTTTTTGGTGGCACTCTTGGAGCTTTCGTAAGTTATTTAATTAATGATAATATGAGAGAATATGATTAACTTGTGGAAATAATTTCCTAATTTTGATCTTTTTTGTTATTTTTTTAGACATTTAATTATTTCAAGACATATCATAAAAATATCCGAATCAATGAATTCATGGGTTTGGACAAGAATAGATTCGAAGAAATGTTGAATTTGATTTCTCAAGAAGTTGAAAACTATAAAACCAATGTAAAATGTTTTCGACTTTACGCAAAGAAAAAAGATGAAAATGTCAACTATCAATTTTAAATTCTTAAATGTTGATAAATTTTCTTCTTCGTATTATTATCATTATAAAATTTTTCATTCATTCTGTAAAAAGTAAATTGTATTATAAATTTTGTAGACATTATTGTATAGAAATTTTTTAAGTATTTAATATTTATTTACACATTCTTTTATTTTACTGTATAAATTGTAACATTTAATATGTATCCATATTTTCTCCCACATTCTTTTTTTTTGTAGAATTTGTAATCGGAACTTCCGATTCTTAAGAATAATTATTATTATCCAATCGAAATTACTCTTGGATAAAATTGTCATTAATAAAAAAAAATAAAAAAAAAAAAATAAAAAACAATGACAAAGAAAAACAGACAGCAATTATTGACAATTGCTTTAGCGGTCCAAAAAAAAATCTTCGTTTGATTTTGGGAATGATGACAAAATATAATTTGAAAATTATCAATTACACTTAATATAAAATCAAATAAAATCAATTGAGTTAACCTATTACACTTTATAGAACTGCCCACAAGTATAAATTATGACCTAACAAATTGTGAATGTCGTTCCCTCCGTTTTTACACGTAAATATATAAGTATCTCTTATATTTCTTGAAGCATTTACATCCCTATCCCACAACATCCCGCCACCATTACTGCAACTCTGCATATCTTTAATGAATATATTTTTGGAAAGGGTTTTTACACCTTGAGCAAATCTATGGATATAAAGGCGAGTATGACGTATTTTGCATAATAAAGGATGTAGAAATCATTTAGCACACCCGACTTGTTTTAAATTCATTTACCAATCGAGTGGTACATCTCCTTTTCAATTCCTGTTATAACTGTTTTTTTTGGTCCTGAAGCATAACCAGGAGAAGAAGAGAGAATACATAAGCTCCATAGGCTATCAGAATAATACCAGTCTTGTAGTTTACCAATGATCTATTGGCACATTTTAGAAAGAGCCTATTGCTTGCCAACATAATTATCAAATTTTATCCTGCAAAAGCAAAGTGTACCATAAAAAGTTCGGAGGGTATGATAATGCATTAAAATAGATTGAATATGTTTTATTGATGGTAATTGCATTGATTGCATTGATGAAATAATTGTTCTTGGTGTTGTCGTTAGATTAGAGTCATCAGAACTTGGAAAATGATCATAAAATTCATATTTGAAATCTTAACATAGATGCAGTTCTAGTCATCACCACTTTCTTCTAACTCAATATCATCATCAGATGATTCTTGATCAAAAGATTGAATTATCTGAGCTTCTCGAATAATATCCATCTTTGTTTTTTTACAAAACTAAGTCATTCCCATGAATGGGAAATTTTCGGCTAGGTTGAATGAACTCTATATGAAATTTGGTTAGATCATCCATCACAAGTCGAAACAAATCCATCTTCAAATTATTATCTTTAATTATTTATCGATCAATTAAAAGAAAAAAAAAATGTCAAAAACTAGTCTAAGCAATAAACTTTCCATTCAAGATATTGATGTTAAGGATAAACGTGTTTTAATGAGGTAAAAATAAATTGTTTTAAAAAAGTATACACACATACATACAAACTAATAATCAAATGTATTAGAGTTGATTTTAATGTTCCTTTTCAAGATGGAAAAATTACCAATAATCAACGAATCTCAGCAGCTTTACCTACAATTAAACATGCTTTAGATAACAGTAATGTATTCTTCATTCATTTTTCTGTTATTATTTTGTTTATGAATTTACTTTATTTTATAATAGTCTCATTTTTTTAAAAAAATTTTAATAGAAGCAAAAGCTGTTATTTTGATGTCTCATCTTGGTAGACCAGATGGAAAATCTAATCCAAAATATTCTCTTAAACCTGTCGCTGTTGAACTAAGCAAACTTTTAAACAAGGATGTTTTGTTTTTAGATGATTGTGTTGGTCCTGATGTTGAAAAGGCTACTTTTGAAGCAACTGATGGCAAGATTTTTTAATAAACTTTTTATTATCAATCAATATATCAACATATCAATATCTACAACTAAATATATAAATGGTATTTTTGTTGGCTTGTTTACTTAGGCAAAGTAATTTTATTGGAGAATCTTAGATTTCATATTGAAGAAGAAGGTTCAGCAAAAGATGATCAAGGAAACAAGGTTGTTACATTTACATATTTTTCCCCCTCCTCAAAAAATAGTATCTTTATAAAATATTACATATGTAGATATATCATTTTAATGATTTTAATAATTTATGAAATATAGATTAAACCATCAAAAGAAGAAGTAACAAAATTTCGTGAATCATTATCAAAACTTGGTGACATATATGTTAATGATGCATTTGGTACAGCCCATCGGGCTCACAGCTCTATGGTGGGTGTTAATTTACCTATAAGAGCGGCTGGATTTTTATTAAAAAAAGAATTGGATTTCTTTGGAAAAGCTTTGGAAAACCCTGAAAGACCATTTTTGGCTATTCTTGGCGGGTAAAATTTTCAAGTTTATTAATTAATTTAATTATTTCAATAATAAAAATTTCTAATAAAAAAACGATTTCAAAATAAATCTAGTGCCAAGGTTTCAGATAAAATCAAATTGATCGATAATTTACTTGATAAAGTTAATTCAATGATTATTACTGGTAATTGATTTATAAAATTTTTTAAATCATAAATTTATTTTAAATAGTTTTTTATAGAGTTAAATAATTTATAGGTGGAATGGTTTTTACATTTAAGAAGACACTCGGAAATGTTGAAGTAATTTAACAATAAATTCATATTATTATATTATTGTTATTATTGTTGTTGTAATTGTTGTCAATAATCAATAACTTTATTTATTTTAGATTGGCAAATCTTTGTTCGATGAAGATGGAGCTAAAATTGTGGGACAAATAGTTGAGAAGGCTAAAAAAAATAACGTCGATCTAGTGTTTCCTATTGATTATATTACTGCTGATAAATTTGATCCAAATGCTAATGTATTTTTTCTTTAAATTTTTTTTTTAGAAAAGTTTATATAATTATAATTATTAATTATTAGTTTATTTCATTCATAGACTGGATACGCAACAGATGAAACAGGCATACCAGAAAATTGGTTAGGTTTAGATTCTGGCGAAAAATCCAATGAAATTTTCAGAAATACAATTCTCAAAGCCAAAACCATACTTTGGAATGGGTAAATATATATGTGTGTGTGTGCGTGTGTGTTGATATCAATTTACTTTTAACAAAAATTATTTGTAAAACTGCTAGTCCAACTGGTGTGTTTGAATTCGAAAAATTTGCAAATGGTACAAAATATGCACTGGATGCAGTAATTGAGGCAACAAAAAATGGTGCTACAACAATTGTTGGTGGTGGTGATACTGCTACTGCTGTTGCGAAATGGAATTCAGAAGATAAAATTTCTCATGTTTCTACTGGTGGGGGTGCATCTTTAGAATTACTAGAAGGTAATAACATTTTTCTTAATTAATTGGGGGGGGGGTTTCAACAAATTGATTAATGTTACTATTATTGTTTTCTCGTTATTCTTTTCAGGCAAAGAATTACCAGGTGTTACCGCTTTATCAGAAAAACAATAATTATTAAATAATATTAACATTGTACTATTACTAAAAAAATACATGGCAAAAGCTATATAAAAGTTTATTAAATAAATAAATAACAAAAATATAATAATTTATTTCGGTGGCTCAATTTCTTTTGCATTTTTACTATTCCCTTCTTCACTGTCCTGATTTGTTCCTTCAGATTCGTCACGTAATTGTTTTTGCCACATTTCATAATACACACCTATTTTCATTATAAAGTAATTAAACATTTAAAACATTACACTACGATGTATGTACATATATTATGACATTCATTTATTTACCTTCTCCTCCTTTTTCCAACGCTTGTTTCAATAATTCATCGTGAGTTCCTTGCTCAATAACTTGACCATCTTTGATACTAATAATAAAAAAACAAAAAGTTTTTTAATGTAAAATACTGAGATGTTTATATTTACATTTCTTTCTATTTCAAAGAAAATTTTTTACCAAAGGATTAAGTCAGCATTGACTATTGTACTTAATCTATGTGCAATGACTAAAGTTGTGCGGTCTTTTGTCATATGTGAAAGAGCAAATTGTATTTGACGTTCAGTAGTAGTATCGAGAGCAGATGTAGCTTCGTCAAGTAAAATAATCTATAAAAAATATTTTGCATATTTAGATTACTATTAATCAAAAAAAAAACAACAACAATCAATGGAACTGACTAATTAATTAATCATACCGGAGGATTCTTTTTGTTTTTAATAATAATAATACGTGAGAATTAGATAAATAGTAATTTATAATTAATAAAATAAAATAATATTGAATTTTTTTAAAAAAAAACCTTCAAGATTGTTCTAGCAATTGCGACTCTTTGTTTTTCGCCGCCACTTAATCTTAAACCACGTTCTCCAACACGCGTTTCATAACCTAAGTCACATTAAATAATTCTATTAAAAATTTATATACTTTATAAATTAATCATTTTATACATACCATCTGGAAAACTTAAGATTTTATCATGGATTTGAGAAGATTTTGCAGCTTTATATACTTCATCATCGCTTGCATTTACATTTCCATAATGTATGTTATAAAAAATAGTATCGTTGAATAGTACTGTGTCTTGAGGTACGACACCAATATTTTTACGTAAACTCTCTTGTGTAACATGTTTGATGTCTTGTCCATCAATTAATATTTGGCCCGAGTTGACATCATAAAATCTAAATAATAAACGTAATATGGTAGATTTTCTGATAGAAATATAAATTAAAATGTTAAAAAAAATCTTACTTTAAAGAATTTTAAAAAATTGATAATTAAAAATCCTTAAACTCCTACCCTCCGCCACTAGGCCCAACCAAAGCTACAGTTTTACCTTTAGGAATTGTAAATGATATATTTTTTAATGATTCATTCCTAGAATCATATGAAAACCCAACATTGTCTAAATTGATTAAAAAAATATATATTAAGATACAATACATATATATATATAATCGTATAGCCTTATCAATCAAGTTAAACTATAAATACCAAATATAATCTCTCCGTCAGTAACATTTAGTTCTGATGCATTAGGATCATCTTGAACACTTTGTTTTTCTTTAAATAATAGGAACATTTTTTCCATATCAATAAAATTCTGTTGAATCAATCTATAATAAGTACCAAAAAAATTAAGCTACAAAAAAAATTTTATTTTTAAATTACTGATAAATAATAATAATAATAATACTTATAATAATAATAATAATAATAATAATAATGTTATTATTGTTATTATAGAGGAAACTTACTGGGGTGTACAGTTGATTAATATATGTTACGAAAAGTATAAATTTTCCAACTGTATAGTCACCACTTGCTACATTTTTAGCACAAATCAAACAGCCAGCTAATAAACCAAGTGTAATAACAAAATTTTGACCAAGATTTAAAATATTTAAAGAACTGGCTACTTTATAATCAGCTACTTGAAATTTTTTTATGGATTCATCATAACGTCTAATTTCAAATTGTTCTGCATTATAATATTTAACAGTTTCAAAATTTAAAAGAGAATCAACTAAAAATTTTATAAATAAAGGAAAATTAGTTCCTTAATAATAATTAGATATTGTTTATCATTAGTAAATCGACAAAATTGACTAATAAATTAATCACCTGCTTTGGCTCTAGTGTCATTGTCCAATTCGATCATTTCACGCCTGAATTTCGTTCTCCATTCAGTAATCCAAATAGTCAAAAAAATATAAGCAGTCATGGTGATGAATACTATAGCACCAAATACCCATCCAAATCTAATAACAAAATATACAACAGCAACAATGATATCGACAATCACAGGAAAGATTTGAAATAAGATTTGGTTGAGTAAAGTGATTATACTATTTGTTCCACGATCCATAACTCTCAAAACCTCTCCTGTTTTACGATTTATATGATAAGATAATGAAAGCCTATATATAATTATAAAAAAGGAAAGTTTTGATTTGAGAAAAATATACTTGGTGACTTTAATAATATTTATCATTAGCAAATTTAATTTACCCATGTAAATGTTCAAACATTTTAACAGATATTTCACGAGTTGTGTACTAATTGAAAGAAATTAATTAATAGATATAAAATTTAATACTAAACAATCATTTGTAGTATTGTTATAATTACTTGGCCAATTGGAATCCACAAATAATTCTGTGTAGATTGAACTAAGCCAACACCACCTTGTAAAAATCTAAGAAAAACAAATATAATAATGGCCTCCCATGGAAATCTTGCTAGATCAATTAAATATGAAGAAAATAAGATTAACAATCATTGGATATTGAATAAATATTGATATTTTATTTTCTTACGTTTTTGTCCATTGTCACCAGAAAGTATATCAGTAATTAACTCAAGTTGTTCCGGAACCAAGACATTTATTAAACGTCCAACAACCAACAATGTAAAACAGATGTAAATTAAAAATTGAAGAAATGGTTGTTTTGATGGCCATAAAAATGGTAATAATTTTTTCATTTTACTGAAGAAATCTGAAAATGCCCCTTGTCCTGAACTACTTTGATTTGTTGCTTGAGGTTCATTCTCGTTTGATGGAAATGTACCATAAGAATTTGAATTCTCGAGCAATGACCTATTACTACCATTCTCAACATCCAAGTCAACAGGTTTACTAAAAACCTCTATTAATGATAAAATGCTAGTAATGAAAATTGCAAGATAACGAGCAATAAATAAAATAAAAAATGCTTTATCGTATATAGAATAACCGTTTTCTGAAAATTTGAAAGATTAAATAACATTTAATTGGATTTGATTAAAAACTAAAAAATTAAAAAAAAACCACTTTAATAAAATTTATGAATATAGAGATATATACCTGGTTTCGAATGTTTGAATTGAAGGTACCAATACACAAAAATCAAAGTTTCTGTAATATTGGAAAACAAATAAAAAGTAAGATTGACCCAAGACAATTTACCAAATTTTTGTCTTTCTAAAATTATCAGAGATAAATTTATCACCCAAGCGAGCCAGGAGATAACATCATATAAAACTATAAAAGTACTAGTCCAAACTTTAGATTCTAATGCTCTAATGATAACAAGCATACAATCTAATAGATATGATACAATTACGAAAGCGCTTAATATGTTAACAAATTTGGTTATAAAAGGTTTGTTTTGTAAAGAATAATTATGTTGTCTAGTTCGAATAACCGCAAGGTATCTATATAAACCAAATAAAATTACAAATGATAATAATCCCGCGGAGAATGATAAGCGTGGTAAAAAAGGATTATCATCAGAATCTTCATTTGATTCTGAACTTTTAAAATTCACAAGCGTTACAGAAGTCATATTTAAATATAATAATTGATCATAATAATCAAGATGAAAATGCTTTTTTATTTATACAAGTTACTCAAAACATATACACAAATTTCGTAAGCATAGTCTATTGGGTGTTAGATATAAGCATAGAGGAAATCAAATAATAAGAGATTTTTGTCGATCATTTTCATAAACTCAAACAAACGGTTATAACTCATCATACAGATGAGATTTTTTAATTCTGAAATATCTACTAAGAACTTGAATTTGACATGCTTGTAAAATAACTTTTTAATTTAGTAATAAGTTAATAAATTAATTTCAACTAAATAAAACATTTTATCAAATCACCAAACCAAAATTATTCATTAGTAATAGCCAATTCATTCTGATCCACATAATCATAAATTACATTCGTTATCATCAATTAAATACACACTCTCAAAACATAATTGGTGACAACTTGGTGCGAGTTAACAAAACGAAGATCAAAATTTACAATCTATGGATTTTTATTCATCTTATATTTCCTTTATCTCTTTTTTATATTCTTTTATTTCATTTCATTTCTTATCTTTATCTTTCACAATTTATTTACTTACCCTACTTTTATTTGAAAATTGTAAATGCAATTAAAAGAACAGAATTCGGAATTAGTTAAATCAGAAACTTTTGCTTGTGTTTATAAAAAAATTCTCAAGAGAAGAATTAAAGATCTACAATTAATTGATCTAGTTTTCAAATATTTCTACAGAAATCCCCAACAATTATTCCAGTTACATTATCAATCAGTAGAATCAACCAGGAATTCTCACAAAAATAAAGTTTGTTATTATGTGGAAATAAGAGTCATATAAAAAGAAGTTGCAATCTCCAAGGATTGACTGAAGAAGAAGAAATTGAATTTGTCTTTCAAAAACATAGATCAGTAGGAGAGGAATTAATTAAAAAAGAAGAATTAATTTTTCTTGAAGAGTTTTATTTGAAGATATACCAGACGATTTACCTTATGATGAAGATCCTTACGAAGATTGAATGAATGAAATTTATTATAATCGCAAGGAATACATTGGTTATAATACTAAATTAATAAAAAAAAATAAATGAATAATAAAAATTATTTAATTCGGAATTAGGTATTTCGGCTAATAAATCAGCGTCAAATCCTAATTCCAGTAACAACAACAATATGAGTATTTATTTATTGCTTGGTGATTATTAATTATATCAAAGAGAGAAAACTTGAGTTGGTTAGGTGGATACCTACCTTTTTATAAAAAAATCGTGATTCAATGAACTAATATTTATACAAATTGAAATCAATTTCAATTTATTGAAAAATAATCAATCGTCCAATTTTTTATGATATATAAATTGGTGTTTCTATTCATAATATAAATTCTTATTCGAATTGTTTATTCGAATTCATAATAATAATAATAATAATAATAATAATAATAATAATGAATAAAATAAATCCGAACAGAATCCTAATACTAATGCTAATGTAAATAACTACTTTTTTTGTGCCTTATTCGTCATGTATCCTTGTTATGTTATTCGTCACCGAATATTATTAAATCAACTATCCATCACGTCTAGAGTTATTATAATTTTTTCTTGATTTTTGTGTAATGGAACTGACTCTGAGTCGGCTCAGATGCTTGAACGGTTCGGTTCTGAAACCGGTTCGAGTCGGTTCCATTGTGAAACTGCCTCATGATCACTGCTTTTGATAATGCCTTTGTCTTACAATTTTTGAAGTACTTCAACTGCTTGGTGAAGTTGATAATTACTATATTGCTTTAATACATCAGAAACCAGTTTAAAACAAAAGCCTGGAGTTGAGATGTTAAATATTATATTTACTTATGAAAATATGAGCTGTTAAATTTGTCAGTTTCCTGTTATTTAACCAGCGGTCCTGGATTATGGGTATAAAATTCATATTTTTTACATACAGTGTATATAAATTATTGGAAAACATAAGAATGTGTCAAAAAATAAATATAAAACATTTTAATATAACTAAAAAATAATTTTAAAGCTCAAAATGTTGAATTTCTCCATAACAAAACCTTGATCTTTTTATAAAATAATTTCTGGATGCAATTATAGTAAGCAAGAATGAATTTTTAGAATGTCATTGATTTTTATTTTGGTTTCTTCTAAAATTTTCTGTGCCATTGATTTTTTATGAGAAGCAGCAAAATGACTTATCCATCCTTCAATTGTTTTGATTGTTGGCAACTCTTTGGATGTAAGTTCACCAAGTTTTACACGCTCTTTCAATTCTTCTGACATATCTTTTGCAGAAAATTGTTGACTTCTATCCATATTACCAAAAAGAAAATATATTTGCAGGTATTCCTTGACTTTATCACCACCCCCTTTATTTCCATAAACTTGATTTTCCTTCAAGGCCCATCCTATCACAAAATAATCAACTCGGTTTGCAAAGTAACATAGTTAGTGTCAGTAAACTTGATTTTTAAGGTGAGTTCCAAGGAAAAAATAATTTTATTTTTTAAATGATCCTTACTGGATTATATCATTATCAAATTTTCCCACATTTCACTAAGGTTTGGTTCTGATTTATGTTTTTCTACATCCCTCTCATTCATATCATTTATAGCATCAGCCTCTTGTGGAATTGGATTTGTTGTCTCTACAAAAAAAGTATAACAATCTACAAATACAAATACATGTTCAGATATGTAAATTCATACCTGTAATTTTCATTTTTGTTTCATTAAATAGTTATAAGTTTTACATTAAAAATTGGTCGTTTGCTCATTTTTAAATTTAGAAATGAGAAGCAATTAAAGATATTAATATTAATATTAATTCATGATCCACCAGTTAAGGAAAGGATTTAATTAATGCCAATCCGGGCAAATTTTTTAAATTTCATAGCAATAATAATAGTAATCGATTTTTCGCCCCCATAGAAAGTCATGCATTTATTATGTTACATAAAAAAAATTTTATATCAACCTGTGTAAATCAAAAGTAAAAAACTATATTTACTTAAAAATATATGGGCTATTAAATTTGTCAGTTTTCTGTTATTTAAGGAGCGGTCCTGGATTGTGGGTATAAAATACATATATTTAAATATATAAAATAATTAGAATGTGTTCTAGAATAATAATATTATTAAATATATTTAATAACCACAATGGTAGCTATTGACTTTATTTATTTTTACTGTTATTTAT